ACAGAGGAGAGGAGGCAGCTGCACAGCTGGAAGATCCTCTTTTAGGGTGGCATGGAAAGTTGGAAGATGTGGAATCATGCTTTGCTGAAAGAACGCTTGGGCAAGGAAGGTGAGATCAGCTTGAATGCTCAGTGTGGGAACAGGGTGCTTGTGCTTAATGATGGTAAAGCAGAAGGGGATGGAAGGGGCTGCCTGGTAAAGCAGCTATGGATTATGCAGCCATGAAATAGAGGATTAAAGAAGGTCTAAAGGAAAATGAAGAATAGAGGCAGGGATTTGACTGAGAGTCTGGAGAATGTGTTGATAATCAGCTGATGAAAACAGAAAATTGATTAATTAGGTACAGATAATGTACTGAAAGGGGCAGAGGCCAGAGAGAGTATTTTGTGGAGAATGGGCTGATAAACGAAAAGAGAAGCTGTTACTTGGACATGTCCTGTGCTGTGAACTGGCAGCAAAGCATATGATGGATTGGGGTGGGTGGACGTGTGGAGGAAATAACACGCTGTGGGGAAAGAAAAGGTGGGTTATGAGAGCCCAAGTGCTCCAGCTGTATAGGATGGCCCTTCCTGCTTAGACAGGCTATTCTTACAGCCTACCATGGCCATGCAAAAGAAAATATGCATAAAGAAGTCCTTGCAGAGGTTTCCTTTCACTGGATTTACCATGTGGAGATGTACAGTCTAGCTCAGTATTTTCAAATGAAGGAAGCCTGTAAAAACTTGTTGCCTAAAAAGCCTTCTGTTTCTGCCTTTCTAGTAACAAAGAAAGTTTTTGGTGCTAAAATAAGCGATGTGATGTACTGTACTTCTAAAGCTGTTAAAAGGCTCTTAACAGCTCAATAAAATACTTGCCGCCTCCTCCTGTGCTTTCAGAAAATTTTACTCCAATATTTATTTCACTGGCTTATACAGAATTTCCTCCCCTTTAAAATATAAGTTGTTAATTATTACTGGGTTGTCATGATCAACTCCCTTCCAGCTATTAAAATGTACTTGCATTGTAGTTTTATTATTACTTGCAAAATATTGGAAAAAATAATTTTGCTAGACAGTTAAATTTGAAATAAATATTGACTAGGCTATGCAAATGGATCTTTTATGTTAATTTCCTGCAAATATTCAAATGGTGTAGTTTTACGAGAAAAAGCACTCATAAAAACAAATCTTTATGAATATTCACTGAAAGTGAATTTTTAATTGTACACTTGAGTCTAATCTTTGAAAATCATGCTGTGTGGGTTAGTCTACATAGGTCCTTTCCCACAACAGCAAAAACAGTAGCATGTGACTAGCCAACATTGCACAAATACCAGTTAATATTGATATAAGGTGTGTGCAGAACATGACACAAACAGAAGCTTTCAATACACCGCAAAATTCTTCAGTTGTTCAGAACTCTTCATGAACAGAAGGCAAGACAAAACTGATCAACAAATCAGTTGTCAAGACTTTGCTCACCACGAATTAAAATATTATCTAAAAGCAGTTGTGACGGTGCAGAATGCCTGTGGTGTTTTGGAGAGAGAAATGGATTACCTGAAATTCTACCTCAATAGTTCCAGGTATTATGATTCTAAGGAATTACTGTAAGTTTTAAGTTGGTATTGCACTGCATAAGTATAAAACACAGACGCGCAATCTCCTACCAGATTATCAGTGTTACAAAGTCGAGCACACTGAAGTTAGGAAATGGTGGTGTTAAGTTTGCCCTGTCTGCAAACTTCATTAGCTCCTGTGGTTTTACCGTTTCCAACAAGATGCTCCACTGACCTCCACTGAGCATGTGCAAATTGGTATTTTTGAGGGCTTATAACTTGATTATAGAAAGATGACTTCTCATATCAAATTCCTGCTTCAGAGCATATAAATTTTAGATAGGCGGTCTTCAAAATTTTCCAGTCAGGACACAGACTGCTGTATAACAAAGTAGGCTTTATGGTTTATTTTCCTTAGTAACCTGCCCCAACCTTCTTGAGCAGTTAGTGGGTCCTGAGACTCTTCTGACCTTAGGTTAAGAAAACAGCTGGTATGGAAAGCTTTTTTGGATGACGCTATCTGCCACAGATAAGGTGTTGAATCATTAGGATCAGGCTCCCAGTTATGTCACAACTTTCTGATGCACGGCAGATTCTCCGATGGCATCTGTGCGGCTTAGAGCACTCCAGCGGCTATTGAAGGCTTTCTTTTCTGATGAGAAGAACAGTTGTAACAAAAAGCTTGAAGCATTCAAATTATATTCTTTTCCTTGAGCTGCAATTCTAATTCTGTTAAATGGGTATAATGAATTCTTCACAAGAATTCATTGCATAATACTATCACAGTTTCTTGCCTGGTAGGATTCCCTGTTTTCATATATGTATATTAAAGAGACTTCAAAACACACCTGTAAGCAGGATCCATAATACTTCCTGCAAAATCACTCTCAGGTTTTTCAGTTGTGGTATAGTTTGTATTACGTGCCTGTTCCTGGCTGCAAAGGCCTTTGGATCCTTTCTCATCTATTTAACCTCCTGCAGATAGTTTATTCTCTTTACTCCTCATGAACAATGGTGTCCTCGACAAAAATGTAGTGATCCTTGTCCTGGGTAATTGTGCTGTTGGCCTGCAATGAGGTTTTGCAAGGTTTGTACTATCATCTTTTGTATTTGGATGAAATATGCAAAGGGAAAAATCGCGATCTTTGCTGGGATGGTTATCTTTGGGGATAGAAGGTGCAACGTGAGTCAGGGCCATCTTCCCAAACCAAGCACTGACTATGAAAGATGCAATGGTGTACATGGGAGGTGGTGGGACAGTCAAGTATTTGCAGACTATAACAGAAAGTGCATTTTGTGATGACTCTGCTCTGCATTTCCTCTCGGATACCTGTTAGACCTGCAAGGATTCTTGGAGCAGGCCTTGCTGGTTGCTAGAAAGAGGTGGGACAGAGCAAAACCTGATTTTTGTCTTTTGGCCACTTGGTAAGTTTCCATTTTTGTCAGGTGCGTGCTCCATGTTCCCATCTTGTTTGATATCCTGAGATGGTAGCTAACAACTTGGATTTTATTACTTCATTGTTTTCTGCCTGTTCTCTTTCCATCACGTTCTGAAAGACCTGGTTTGTAGGTCTTTCGATAGGCACATCACATAAGATGTGCATGCGCTCTTACTGTTGTATTGTTGATGCCACTGTGGTAGCCTGTGGTCTAACTGTATTTCTCTAGAAATAATTTATGTGCTGAGGCGTTGCACCCTGCCTCAAACCAATGTTCTCCCCCTGTCCCTTCTGTGGTAAACAAAATTCTTTGTATTGGAATACTTTTGTAATTCTGATGACAGAGCTACAATGTTGAATGACTACCAGAACATGAAAACACTGCAAAATACCTGATGACACTTTAGCAGGAATTACTGTTTATCTTTTATGACCTTAGGAAAAAGATCTGTATTAAAGCAGAGATGTTCCAGGAGCGGTGGAGGAGCTTGTTTGATGCGGGATGAAGGGCTTGTTAAAATGCATTAAGAGTTATGACAGAGGACGATTTCTTAGCAATTGTGTATGTTGCCGAAGAATTTTGTCACTATGTAGCTAGCAGAAGTCCAAACATTCTAAGGTGACAAGTTACTGGAGGCTATTTCAACAAAGTTGTCAGGAAAGATACCAGCCAGGTTGCAGCTCAAGCAACTTTCACAATAAAGATAAAATTTATAGATGCTTTCTGTATCCTCAGGGGAGGTATTAATTGGTGCTTCTCTGTCCAGAAATACACATAAACAACCTATTGTAGCTCGTGCTCAGCTCACTGACAACAACTTTGCAGCTTGTTTGTGTTTGCTTTGCGTAGCCGTACCAAGGAGAGAAATGAGGTTGTCAGAAACGTCTGAATGCCCTGACAACGTTTCTTCTTTGCCTTTTTTTTTTTCCTCCTGTGGAAAGCATACCTGTGGCACGCATCAGCTCTCGCTCATGCTCTTCCCTTGGTTCTCGGACTTCGAACTCCCACCCTAGGTCCAGCGTCTAAAAGAAATTCATTCCCCTTTCTCTGACCAGTGGAAGTCTGACCCTAGAACTCTGAGAATCGGACCCGGAGGCAACTCCCTCGCTGCTCCCCAGACTCCTCAGGGCAGACCTCGGCAAAGGCGGCCCGCAGACGGCCTCGCACGCCCCAGAAAAGG